TTTATATTTTTAAATATCCGTGTATGCGTAACATTTCACTCGAAAGCATTCGATTTTACATGAATTTGCCAAAATTGCAAATGCATCGTTCCTTTCTTTTCCTTTTTTTTCTTTTTTTTTTTAATAATGCAAAAAAAGACAATAAAGATATGAGAACCTCTGACGAAGAATGCGAGAAAATTGATTAATCATTTTTACGAACGATTGCCGGTGAGAACCACTGTTTGGAATTCTTGGGACTACCTGGTCGGCAATCTTGCGTTTTAGAGTTAGTGGAGCAACGATAACTGCGGTGTGTTGCCGTAACTGTGTTCTGCAGTTGCCACTTCGTGAATCAACAGGTCGACTGAGATCAGCGTCGTTTAAAAAGCCGAGTGGACCGGCCTCTTTGAACGCGAATTGCCAGAAAATGTACCGGTACGATCGAATGGCAACCCGGAACACGGACAGCCGGTGAGAGAGAGTTTTATCTTCGAGAGCGTTTGCGAGGTGTACGAATAAATTCCTCGCATTCCAACGCTGGTCCAAGCTCCCGCGGGGCCAGCATCTAGATGAGAATGTTACTTTTGTGATTACTCATTCGGTGACATCCGAGGAATGCGGTAAGGAAATTTGCGTCCTCCTACGCTTCGTGATATCGTTTCTTCCTTTCTTTTTTCTTCCTTCTCCTCTTTTCCAGACTGATATGATTGTAATAATATCAGCCATTGAGATCGTTACTTTCTACTAGACGACCCAAGTCCCTGAAAAGTCAATTTTTGAGTCTCAACTTCTTTTTTTAACGTTACCTGCTGCTACATTCTATCGTGCGTTTTATTTCAACGTTGTATCTGTAGTTTCTCGATCACATATGAATGGTCAACAGTGTTATCAGCAATAATAACATTTAGTGTGATGGGCATGAAAATTTATTCACTTAAGCTGATTGTTAAGTTATAAAAATTGTTCTCGTAAAGAAAAATAGTACAAAGTAATTTTTTTATTTTTGAGTATAAATTAGAAAAATATATTTGGTAATTATTATAGGATATATTAATTATATTGAACATATATGTTATAATATAATTACATTGAACATTAATTGAGTATTAATTGAACATACAATTTATTAAAATAATATATATTTCAGCTAGAATAAGGTTTCCTTCTTGTATCGCACTTGACTACTCCTACATTGTGGAATGTGTGGTATAGGTTGACAAAAAGAAAAGGTGCTGGATAATCCAAATGGATAACAAAAGCCCATTATGGCCCAGCATCTGCAAACACAACATCAACACGAATTTCTACCACTATGCGATGTATTATTCAACATAATCTCTCTTGCATCGTATTTCTGCGACGTTGTCTTCGACTTTGCAATGGTATATGCTCTTGCTCAACATTCTATAGCACCTCCGGTTCTATTTCCTCTAAGCATTGTTCTTATAGCAACTTCGTTGATCATTTCTCAGGTTAGTATCAATATAAAGTATTTAAAAGTTTCAATTTTTTATAATCAATGTGCCGTTCAATTAATTTCAGATTATTAGCATAAGATGGTATTTATGGGGAGCCAGAGGCAAACTAACGGGTAACTCTATAACAGACTGCAATATTAATGGAAAGAAAGAAAATGAAAATTGGACGATATGGTGTGTTTTGTTGCTTCATTCGACTCAAGTCGGAGTATTGTGGAGATACTTCAAATTATTCATCCCAGTTAATTTAACTTATGTTAAACATGAGGTGAGAAGTAAGAAAAAAAGATTCATTTGTACATTTATCTGATATAATTTATATGTTAAACTTGTGATTCGGTTTCATCAGGTGAGAGAACTTTGCGTACTACGCCTTATTCATGCATTCTGTGAAGCTGCACCAATGTTACTTCTACAGTTGTATCTATTGTCGATTGGAGTCAATAATGATTCAAACACTGACGTTGGAAAAACGAAGGAAACCGACAGTAGAGACGGTGATAAGTTAGCAAAATTAACTGCAGTGTCTGCTGGTCTATCTTTGTGGAGCGTGTGCTGGGCAGTGGCTAGTTTTAGCAAAGGTGCAGCACGTCTTCGTAATTTAGAACGTTTGGTATTGACATGGCTAGGTGTGCTGGCACAACTAGCATGGCGTTTAGGAACTGTAAGCGCTAGAGTAGGAGTATTGGTAGCTTATGCTTCACTCTACGGTGGACAGTGGTTATTAATTGTCATGGCTCTCCATTGGTTGTCAATGTTGATGTGGCTGTTACTCACTCCAGATGGTCTTTTTCATGGTGGAGAGCATTTACCTATTTTAAGAAAAACGTCCTTAGCTTCTCTCCTTGCGTTTGTTTACATATTTGCATACGTAAATTTGCACGAAACGAATCATCGTCAGAAGATGGTGAGTTATTGATATATATTATTCCTTTAACGCTGATGTTTAAAATAAATGAAATCCATAGTGTACTCGCTATATTTATATTGGCTGTCTTTTTCCAGGTAATTTTTTACACGGTAATGTTTTTAGAAAATAGTCTGCTCATTGGTGTTTGGATAGTTGGTGTCAACAGAACAGATCTTCTCCCGCACCAGCATCATCCAAACCCTGTAACTTTAGTACTTACATTGTTAGCTTTATTTTTCGGTGGTATGTTTTTCATGGGACTTTATTACAGGTAATTACAAGTTTAATTCTGCTAAATAATTTTATAAATATATATTATTTAACGATAGTAATTTGTCTTTATCGACTTTGCATGGACTCTCAGGTTTTTTCATGTACGAAGGTTAAGGTACGAATCTGGCGGCAGAATGACAGCCTCAAATCTCACAGCATTATCAAATCAGGTATTGTAAATTAAAATCAGATGTTTAAAAGCAATAT